TAAAACGGGGACATTGATAGATTCGAGGAGTTAAGAAGAAATGCAGACGGAACGAAAGATAGAATGAAGATTGGATGGACGAATAAAAGTACTGATGGTGGAAAGGTCTTGGGTTAGGGAATATTTGTTCGAAGTTGAGGATATTTAATGTGTATAAATAAAAAAATAGAACACAGCACTCTGGCTGATTTCATCTAAATGTCTACAGCCTTTATTTGTTAACAGAATCTCGGAATTTTCACTTTCCAATAAAGGAAACCTGGTTAAAAGGAATAATTGAAAAGAAACAACACTTGGAAATATTGCGATGACTCACATTGAAAAATAAATAACTATGGTGCCAAAAAATAAAAGTCAGTCTACGTTAGATGCTTTATCCACTCCCCAGTTGTAAAAATGGACTCAACCGGGTGACGTAATAGGCAAAAAGGTAGTGTAGCTGTGACAGTCATAAAACAGAAACAGGATGTAACTTCAGCGTTGGGTAATGGCTAGAAAACTATTACTACAAATCAATGAGTTAGTTCCTTACTGCGTGCACATTTTTGCGGCCTTATGCCAGACTAAGCTTAGTTTAGTAAATAGCTATTATTATGGGAAATGTTGCCGTGTTAAAGTCCCTCATAGGACAAAACGTGTCGACTAAAATAAGTTTTCCTTTTGTCTTTCTTCATATATATATATATATAATGTATGACAAGGTGAAAAAGGTTTTCTTGTGACGCGTTTCGTCCTTTAGGGCTTAATCTTCCACCCAACTATGACAGCAGTATTGCATTATCGGCCTGATCTAACTCCTGTAAAGGTAGAGGATAAAATGTGGAGTCAGGTACTTACTGGAGCGGTACAGTGAACTGACCATCTTACCTGCATCTTTAGCGATGGACCATATTTACGAGTCTAACTTGAGGTCAGGTGTGAGTTTGAGGCCTAATATTCTCTCAAGATATAGTACCTTCTCAAGGGGATATCCGTTCATCGTGAAGGGTGGCAGTTTAGGGTCCGATCGCCGATGATGGCCCGTAACTAGTTTGGTCTTTGTTGAATGTAACCAGCCAAGTTTTTCTTTTCTTATTAATAAATTATCATCGCTCTCATGACACTCTGGCTGACGGAAAAGAGTGCAGACAGGCCAAGGATTATTCACTGCTTATTCTAATTTCTTATTAAGAAAACTAAGGGAATTAGAAATTAATAGACATGAAGTAATTTTCGATTTCTTTAATATATATTAATAAAAATACTCTGGAGTCAGAGTGAAGAGGAAATTTATTATTAATATTTATTATTATTTTCCAAGTTTGATAACTTTAACGGTATTCCGCTAACAAAAATATTACTATGATGTTCCGATTTTGTCTTGTTAGAGACGTATGAATAAATCCGTGCATTGTAATAATAATTATTAAAATTATTTTACTCACTGAAATCTCGGGTAGATGTCCTTTGAAGTTTTTGTTCTTTCTGTATCCGGGTTGTTTTTTAGTTCCATTAATTGCGTCAAAAATTATTGAATTTTCCAGAGTCTTCTTCGGTCTTTCTTCCCGGTTGTCCTAATTATTAAAAGTATTTTCTTAGTTATAAAGTATTTAAAAAAATGTTCCCAGATAATGAACTCTTCTATGAAGAAACAAGGAGTCAAACTGAAAATCTAGTAATACATCAAAAGCACAACCGAAAGTGACTTTTTCAATTTTTTTCATAAAGTGCAACACATGAGAGGATGCTGAAAAGTTTGGAATCTACTTCGCAAATGCTGACTAAATATTCAAATATATGAAGTTGGGTCTTAAGCGATACTGCGAAAGGTTCAGGACATCTGTAAAATTGATGTCAACCTTACCACAGAGCTGAAGAAGATTTAATAGAGTTGTTCCCAAACTTTTGGGGGTTTCTTGGTGCTAGTATTGCATGTCAAATGAAAATCTTAGTATTTTTCATGATAATTGTCTTATAAATGGTTTGATTTATACTTTTTACGGCATGTCAACACCTAAATAGGTCATTTAATGCCGACAACTTTTTTTAGGATAGGTTTATATGAATAAAATATGTATTCTTTGTAAAAAAAATTAGTTTGAAGATCAGGTTTCATTGACGTATTTTTATAAAGCGGGTTTTTGTCAAGAGTCAAATGCATTGCTGGTAATATTTTTCTTTTAAAAAATCTGTTGAGGAGGAGGCTCGGCGGAGTAATGGATAGCGTCTCGGTTTGAGGAATCGGAGATCCGAGTTCGAATTCCAATCGAATCCATTACATTCACGTATCTGCTAATACCCTTAGGAAAGGTATGAATCCTCTTCTCCCACACCCAGTTATGGGTAAATAGCAGGGCACACCGGGTTTTATAGCCTTGGATGGCAATTGGTCTAATGTGGAAAGAAATGGCAACCTACTGCGGTAAAAAATCTGCCCCGTATCGAAAGATACATGATCCCTAAGAGTGTATCGTACATAACTGATTGATGTTTACTTTTTTTTAAATATATTGCTGGTATATTTACTATAAAAATCTATTTTTATACTTTCATAGTGTTTTGACCCCAATTTGCGGGGTTTAACTATTTGCCATAGATGGGGGCCCTAAGAGGTGCTACCACTCCGGGTCAGGGTGGACCTGGGGAATAGCAGCAATTAAGAAGTGGTTCCACGTTCCTCAAAACCTCCCAACCAGAGGACGTGCTGCCGGATGAACTTTATCGTCATACCCAGCACGATTTATAAATGGGATACACTGTAAAGTGAAGGCAATATACACTTCAGATATAATGGGTGTAGACTGTATGTTAGAGTTCAGATGTGCCACTGTCACCCTCTAGCTTTCCAATTTATCCGCACGGCCTCTTGGATCTTTACACCGACCCCAGGTGAAGTGCCGCACGGCCCACTTTCGAGATCACTGAAATAGATGAAGGTTACAGTCGTACCAGTCGTTAACAGAGCACTGGGAACACTCCTAAATTAGGAGCGTCGGAGCCATCCAGACGACAGCATTACCGGAAATCAACTAAGAAACGTGCTGGACGATTGGGGAGACTTTCGAGATCACTGAAAGAGATGAAGGTTACAGTCGTACCAGTCGTTAACAGAGCACTGGGAACACTCCTAAATTAGGAGCGTCGGAGCCATCCAGACGACAGCATTACCGGAAATCAACTAAGAAACGTGCTGGACAATTGAGGAGACTTGTTGTCACTCAACCTCCAGTGAAAATACTGATGTGAGCAATTCATTAAGAAACATAATAAGAAAACTATATAATCGATGGCTATAATAGTTTTATCAAATTTGTGCTTCTAGATTTCTTGTCAACTCCAACAGCTAAAATATAATCATGAAATGAAAAATGTAATTACTTTTTATTTCATTGAATTTCTTTATTTACACAATGTTCGTCGCCTGAGGCGGACAAATCGTTTAAAATTACATAATTTTCTTTATTTTACAACGTAGTCTATAATATCAGGAAACGACTTTGAAAATATAGAAAACAAATTTGTCTCATTTTCAATTAAATAATAATAATAATATATTAAATTGGGAAAGATAGATGTCTTCTTGAAAATTAGATTTTACAAACAAAATTGACAATGGAATATTTCCTAGATTTTTTCTTTTTTTTTTTTTTTGGTCGTAGGGATAACTTTCTTTCTTTTCTTTTCTTTTTTTTTCTAAATAAAATAAGATATTTCAAAAAATGGTGGATCGCTCGGAACAGTAAACGATTTTGGATAAACGTATAAAAATGTTAATATAAATAAGATAAAAAATTGTTCAAATGAATACGGACAATGGCGGGAAAATGTGGAATATCTTGTTAACATGATTACTGCGCATGCGCGTCGATTCCACGCTTTCATTTCCAGCAGAATAGTTAGCGACGGCAAAACCAAAGGGAATATCAAGCACATAATGATTATCCATCTTTATAGTTTAATAAATTTAATTTTCTTTCCCGAAATAAACCATTGGATGACAAAATAGGGATTGGTAAAAATATAAACCTTACTAAGGATAGGAGGTCGTGGAGAGGCATGATCGCAAACAAAAAAGGAAAACGGCGGATAAAAGAAATAACTTTATATATTTTATATACTAACGGCAACTTCAACAAAATGGTATCAGCGGCCGAGTTCAAATTCCGGCTTAGTTTGTTCCTTACACATCCGCACTAATGCTCTCGGAAAAGGCAAGAATAAATATATTCCCCTACTTGTAGCTGTAGAGTAAACTAGACTTCCTAGCCATCAATGGCAGCCGGTTTAGAAGTACTACAAATGCAAAAGCATAGAGAAGGGTAAAGTGAAACCACTCCACTATCTTTCCCTAGAAGTCATGACAATTCACAGTTAATAAGGGGATATTTGGAGAGCCATGAACGTTTAAGTGTTGAAGGTACATGACATTTGTAGCTAAAGAAATAAAGAATCTCCAACAGAAGTATAAATTGCATTATGTAAGTGTTCGAAGGCCTAAAATAGCAGTGAATGTTTTAATAGATTTAATTTTATTTATCAAGATCGTGGAAATCGATTACAGAAATAAGTTACAAACAATAGGAAGTTGTGGAGAGCCATAATCGCTCACATACTGAAGGGGTACGGCACGTAGAAGTCGTATATATCAATTTCTGGGACTAATGGCCTTATCACGTTAAAACACCGGTTTCCGTACGATCAGCGAAGTTAAGCAACGTCGTGACTAGTCAGTACATAGATAGGTCAACGCTTGGGAATATCAGCTTCTGGATGTGCGGGTGGAGTAATGGATAACGGCTCGATTTTGTAAATCGGATAACCGAGTTCGAATTCCAGTTATATTCTACTCGCAAGTACCCTTGAGTAAGGTATGAATTCATCTATTCTCCTCACAGCTAATTAGTAGAACTTGCATCAGTAAAAATCATTATTATCTCTAAAAAAAATTCTCCCAATCTAAAAATATATTTTAGCTTTAAATAACTTGCAAAAGGTTGATAAGTCATATAAAAACAAATTAATGATTTTTTTTTTTTTAAATCAATAAAATTTCTGGTAATACAAATAAAAACATAACTGATATTTGTAAGTGTTTAAATATCCCGGGTAGTTGTGAATAGATTATTACTGTGTTTCTCTTTTATCTTAGATTTTACAAAAGAAAACACTAAATTACCGGGAACATCCGGGATTGCTGGCGTAAAAGCCATCCCAAACTCGCCTCTCCCGTGAAAACCTAATTAATTTCAATTAAATTATTTTTTAGGAAAATAATAAAATGTTATAATTAATCACTGGAAATTAAATGTAGTGTAATTCATTTTTAAATATTTGATTCGGGAATAAAAAGACAATAACTTAAATTTGCTCACGCGAGACTAAAACGAGATTAGCGTTTGTCTAGCGTAGAAAGAAGGGGAACCAGAGAAACTCGAGATGTACAGAAAAAATCAAAAATCAATAGCTTTCTGAAGCAGATAAAGTGAACGTTCTACGTCATAGTTTTCTGTTGAAAACGTTTTACGCAAATTTAATACTCCCACTATATAGTCTGCAACTACTCTGCTAACAAGACTGTCTTTATATTTAATAAAAGCAGTGAAGGGATAAAAAGGGCGAGAGATTGTAGATCAGCAGTAGAATTAGCAGTATCGAACGAGATTTAACTCAAGTAGAATTAGCAGTATCGAACGAGAGTTACTCTAACAGAATAAATGTTAGTCGTATCAATATCTTGGATTTTACATATTATCTCAGATTCCTAATCAAGAGAAAGGGATTTTCAGAACTTTGTATTTTGACTATACTTATAGAATTAATAGAAATAATATTAATATTAATAAGAATAATGCTTCTTATTAATTTTGGATCATCGCTATAGTGGTACCAGGAGACGCAGCGGCAGTTAAGAAAGAGAAAAGGTATAAAGATTTGAAACATAAGGTAGCACGCTAGTGGGGGCTTAAGAAAGTTATTCTTGTTGATGTGGGGGCCTCTTGGAACAGTCACGGGTAAAATTCAAAAATGGCTATGTAGAATTGGGACTGTAATTTGAATTTCTTGGAATACTCAGATTTCTGGAAAAAGTTGTCGATGTACAGAAGTCAAACAAAAAGACAGGACGCATGGTCATTAATTATTGCCCGTTCCTGATTGTTAAATTACAATATATGATCAGTTTGGGTAAAAAGATGATGAAAATAATAATTATTAAAGATTTTAGAAATATTTGATACTGTACAAACCACGGAAGTGCTGGTGTCGGGTCAGCGAGGATACTAAGGAAGGTGCTGGTAATCTGTAGAGTCTTGCTGCCACTCGATACCAAAGATCATCCACTAAACACCTGGTATGAAAATGTAAATGCATCATAGTGATACCAAAAAAACGAAAGTAATCATTATTATTATTTTAAAAAGTCTTCTCACAGATATGATAGTGTCATCAGCTAAATGTTAAAGAATATTGCAAAATAAATAAATATGAAAATGAAAATTGTAAAGTTAGGGCGCCTTAAAACTTATTTTATACTTAGAATAATTGTGACCTTAAAAACGGACATTTATTAAGTATAGTGTTCTTTATGTAGAGTTGGTAAGAACTGTGGAAATTATCTCAACATAAACATCACTTCAGTTCAATGGAGTCCTAAAGAAAGAAAGGAATATGATTCGAAATATAGAAAATTAAATTAAAATATCATAACAAGGAAATTTGATATATATATATATATATATATATATATATATATATATATATATATATATATATATATATATATATATATTTGTATATATTGTGTATTTGAGCTAAAAGTATAGCCGAAAGAGCTTGTAAATATAAAACATTCGGATAATTTTTTATATAATTCATGTCCTGAAAAGAAAAGAATTATAAAAACACATGAAAAATTATATTAAAAAAATTCAACACAGAACCGTGTCAGTCGTTTTTAAAGAAACTTGTATGCATATATATATACATGGACATAGATAGATAGATAGATAGATAGATAGATAGATAGTGTGAGAGAGAAATATATTTGTGCACGCACTCCCATGCGTGTGTAAATAAAAAGTATATATATATATGTGTGTATGTGTGTGTGTGTATCAATATATACAGATATATACAAATATATACATATATTATATATATTAATATATATACTTATTTTATACATACATACATACATATATATATATATATATATATATATATATATATATATATATATATATATATATATATATATATATATATATATATTAAAACAAAGAGGAGAGACAAATGTAAGATTAAGCAAAATTTATTACTCTCCGTAAATTGGTGAATCAAAAATATTTAAAAATGAAAGAAAAAACAAAAAAGACAAGTTGGTTATCTCTACTCGCACTATTTTGTATTTTTTTAAATTTTTTTGTTGTTTCTTTTTGTTATATTTTTGATTCACCACTTTACCATGAGCAAGTTTTGTGTTTTTTATTTATTTTTCTTTTGTTGCTTATCTTCGATCTTTCTCTTTCTTGTAATATATTGCTATATATATACATTTAAAAAAAAGTTCATTTTTAAAGCCATGATAAAATTTTGTACACAATACAGATTATTTAAATAATAATAATAATTCCTGGTAGCCGATACCTTAAAGAAATACAAAAATTGTACTCACAAGCACACCTCACACATTATGAAGTGCAATAACTACGTGTGTGATCTTAGTTTGTTATTTTTTTACAAAAATAATTTGTGGAAAATATCATGAAGCCTTTTCTGACCTCAGGTTTCTTGTTGTGTCCCGGAAGAAAATGTGTATACAACAGATATCATAGAAATAGAAATTGAAACTACTGAGAGATGGTATGAACACCAACCAAACACAGTTACCTAAAATAACGATGTAACTATTTTCTGGGACATGCCAATTCAAACTTGACAAGGAAATAAAAGCCAACAGACCTGGTATTATCATAAAAGACAAGAAATTCAGGAAGTCTATTCTTACTGACATAATACTACCATCTGAGAGAAACACCTCTATAAAAATTATCAAGAAATTGTTCAAATACAAGGACCTGGAGATTGAGATTAACAGGATGTGGAGAATAAAGACTGAGACTGTATCAATAGTAATCAAAACTCTGTGCCTCGTGAGAAAAGGAATGGATAATTTTATTAACAGTACCCTAGGTAACATCAACTTAAAAGTTGCCTAGAAGATGGCCCTACTAGGAAAATCCATATACAAAGAAAAGTGCTATCAATTAAATGACAATTCTCCTATAGGGCCTAAGGACCATAGTTTGGACCCAGCTCTACAGGATACAAAGCAGGAAACATAGCATACACAAATAATAATAATAATAATAATAATAATAATAATAATGACAAGTAAGCTTTGAGACTACTATTCATTGAGGCATTATCATTTATACTGATAGACATATAAATGCTAAGAGACTAGACAATGTAAGGACTACAAATAAAAACTTTCCTCTGATAGATATGGCAGTGTCACCAGATAAAGATATGTTAAAGAATATAACAAAATAAGTAAATATAAGTATTTTGGAAGGAAAATTGAAAAAAAAAATGGCTCCGTAAAACTACTGCAATATCTATAACTGGAGTATTGGACACAATAGAAAAGGTACAACGAACATTAAGAGAATCCCTGAAAGCCTCTGTTTATAAGAGATTCAAAAGATCCCACTCTCCCAAACTGTTCATCTGCTCAATGTAGAAATATATAAACACTATAGATGTTAAATATCACTTAACTTTAGAATTTATGAAAACAGAATACAATTATTTAATGTCTTCCTTTACAACAGGCCTCGAGTAATGACCCCAGAAGGGACTGTACTGAAGAAAAAACAATAATAATAATAGTTAACTGATCCGTCATGTATACAGTCTCTGCCCTTCCTCTTTTCTATTTAATTATATATTAAATGCAGTGAGGGAAGGCCAGAGACTAAAGCTCTATACTTGTTGAACAGACTTAATTGGCGTAGATATTTCTTAATACACTTGAAGCTAAGTCGAGGGCGGCCATAAATAGGAACGAGAAAGCGAGTTATTTCATCTCATTCTCTCTCTCTCTCTCTCTCTCTCTCGCTCTCTCTCTCTCTCTCTCTCGCTACTGTACACCATCCTCTCTTTATATCTCCATCACATGCAAACCCCCTCTCTCTATCTCTTGCCTCCCTCCACTCCTCTTGCCTATTTTAGCCGCTTGGATATGCAGTACACAAGCTCGTGACCTACATTGATGTTGGCTTCAAATAATTATTGGTTATAAAATCAATACATCGCTCAATACAATGTGAAATTAATTTCCATCACCACTGTCAGATGATCGCTAGCAAAATGGTAAAAAAAAAAAATTTATACCTAGAGCTAAGCGATTCAATAGGCAGGTATTGATTAATACCAGCATAGTCTGGCACAAGGATTTTTTATCAAGCACCGAGTTTTATACTAAACCTATTAGAAGCCCAGCTTATTTGTCTAGATTGTTTTAGTATTTACAAAATATACATTGTTCGGACAGCAGTCCCCATATTTGTTGTCATATTCAGAACAATCTACCCCGGTAAACGAAATAAAGGGTTTGATTCGAAATTCCAATCAGCTGAAGAATCCCGTAGCGTTCAACAGCCGAAACGTCGTGAATATGACAACAAAGATGAGGACAACATTTCGAACAATGTAAATAGAGTAAATAGTTACACTACTTCATCTCAGATATATAGACAGATATTTTATTATTATTTGTATGTGAATAAATAAAACGACCTTGGTAAATGAATAGATGAACAATCAAAAAAAAAAAAAGAAAGAAAGAAAGAAGGTTTGTCTGTTTGTGGTTTTATTGTATTTTTTCCAATGTTTGAATCGGGTGTTGGGCACTAAACTCGAAATTGGGGATAGGCTGTGCAATGCTTTTGGGGGCCTCCTCTCCTATAAGTGTTACCTATAACGTTACCATAGACTATTTCAAAGAAAATCAAGACAAAATGTAGACAGGGGAATTTTAGCTTACACACAGACACCATATTGCTTTTTTTTTTTAAATGACTGAGATGGTCACAGGTACTTTAATAAAACAACAGGCGCAACTTCGGACAGTTTATCCGTTTATCCCAATACACAACACCTCATTCGAAATTTGGAAATACAATTAGAAATACATCATGAAGAATCAAACAAACAGACCTTGTCGGGTCTTTTAATCGAACTTGTTTGGATGAATACTGGCTGCCTAAATATACCTTATATATATATATATATATATATATATATATATATATATATATATATATATATATATATATGGTCATACGAATATAAAATTTGTCACTTAGTGGATTGATATTACATTCACCACTACGACTATTTTCTAATTGTTCAGTCCACACGTCAGGAGGTTTCAGGAATATTTATAAGTATTAATGGCACCGGTCAAAACCGAATGGTGATAGTCTGTTTCATAGTTGAATGTAATCTTCACGCTAATCTCTGAAGTTTGCGTTCAAGCATGGGACAGACTGTTGCCACTGGATGTTTATATTAGTGTCCACACTTCTTATAATTACTTACCCTCTATCCTGGATACTAATCACCTTTACCCTATAAAGATAGTATACCTTAAAACTATATTTTACACACACACACACATATATATATATATATATATATATATATATATATATATATATATATACCCAAGTATATAATTGGTATATACGGAATGAATTCCAATAACCAACAATTACTATTCTTAAAAGAGTGCTCAATAGAAAGTAGAGCAGATATAATTATTATTTATAAAAAATTATAACATAAGTATGTTATAAAATGATTTTATAACATACTTATGTTATAATTTTTTATAAATAATAATTATATATATATGTGTGTGTGTGTGTGTGTATTTGTGTTATATATATGTGTGTGTGTGTGTGTGTGTGTTTTGTGTGTGTTGTATATATTTATATATATATATATATATATATATATATATATATATATATATATATATATATATATAAGTTTGGTTAAAGACGACTGACGAGGTATTGGGATTTTTTTCTGGACACGAAGTGTGTAAGCTATGGAAAAAAAGAAAAAACACACATTGAGTAAAAATTAAAAAAATAAAAATCGTTCTTGATAATGGCTAAACGAATAGCCGAAAGCGCTCGGTTATGGAGAACATTTGGACAGATTTATACAGTTTGGGTCGAGAAAAGGAATCACTTTTACGAACACAAGAAAAATTAAATAAGAAGCTTAATCGCAGTATCTTGTCAGTTGTCCTTAATAAAACATATATAAAAGAGAGATTGCTACCCAAATACACACATATATATATGCATTATCTATCTATCTATATATATATATATATATATATATATATATATATATATATATATATATATATATATATATATGTATATATAGGCATATATATATGTATATCTATATGTATATATATATGTGTGTGTGTGCGTGTGTGTGTGAGTGAGTGAGTGTAGCTTTGTCTGTGTATGTGGATCGAACACACAGACATAGACACTAATGCAAACAGTGTAAGCATTCATTGATTTTTTTCTCCTTTTCCATTTTTCTCTTCTCTCTTTCTCTGACATGCGCAGACTCTAGCGAAGGACGCTACCTCGCCAAAGAGTCGAAGGTGACTTTGTTTAAATTTCAATGTTTGTTTACAGCATCCTCAAGACATGAGGAACAAAAGTGTTTCTCCCCGTCTATTTGCAATAATGCTGATACTCGACCCTATGAAAAAATAGAAGAAATTACACCACACGTTCATTCTAGCCTATTTTTATGTGTGCGCGTATGCGTGTGTCATTGTGTTACTGTGTGTATGGCTGGGTTGCTCGTGTGCGCGGGTGTGTAAATATTTATGCAATAATAAAATAATTCATTTCTTAATTCATATACAGATTTTGACATATACACATACATACATACATACATAGTATATATATATATATATATATATATATATATATATATATATATATATATATATATATATATATATATATATATATATATATATATATATATATATATATATATATATATATATATATATATATATATATATATATATATATATATATGTCCATGTCCCGTTGTATTCATGCTAAAAAGATTTTGGGGTTCATTTAAAGTGGGATAAAATAACGTATGTATATTTCTATTTAATTCCTCACCATAATATTTTCAATACATGATTTTCCCCTACTGCTGCCCTCATCATCATCATCATCATCATCTTCTACCACACCTCACGTCGTGCGCTTATTCTTTTTTTATATATGTATATATATATATATATATATATATATATATATATATATATATATATATATAGATAGATAGATAGATAGATAGATAGATAGCATTCATAAATTTTATTAAAAAGAAAAGTGTTAGAATTCAACTGACCGAAATCACCTGAAGATACTGAATGATTGAAAACGGTA